CTCTCTCTCTCTCTCTCTCTCTCTCTCTCTCTCTCTCTCTCTCACACACACACACACACACACACACACACACACACACACACACACACACTCGCCTAGTGTGCGCGCGCTCATGTCCCGTTGGTGTCCTTTCCTCACCCCTCCGCCCATTCTGATTGATTGGTCATCTGGAACCTTCGGTCTTCAGGAGAATCTTCTTGATGATTCGTTGGAGAGCGACAGCGGCAGGCCATCTCTGGCCGTTGGAAAAGCAGGATTTACCCTCTTCGGCGGCACGGCTGAGGCTAGGATCCATCGGCACCTTTCCTAAAAAGGAAACCTGCATCTGTTTGGCCATCGCCTGCGCGCCACCTCCAGTCACATGGAACACTTCCGCGCACGCCACGTAGTCTAGCAGATGCGGCGCGACCCTTCTGATCTCTCCCAGAACTTTCTCGGTGACATCCCCATCGTCCACATCATCGTCCACGTCAGCATCGGGATCCCGTTGTCTTGCCGGCCCCCCGTCATTCATTTGCTGATCGCCCGAAGAAACAGCAGCATCAGCATCAGCAGCAGCAGTAGATGGAGGAGAAGCACCAGAAGAAGAAGATGATGTGGTCCCCACCATCGCGTTCGCCGGCCTCCTGAAGGTTAGGTCGGACAAGCGTTGCTGCAGCCCACTCATGTTCTCCACAACGCCGATGACCGGGATCCCGACCTTTTTACAGAAGTTGATCTCTTTCCTGACGTCAATCAGAGACACCTCCTGAGGGGTCGTGACGATGATTGCACCATCCACGTGGGTCGCTTTCAGATACTGCACGATGGAGATGTGCTCATCGGACGTCCCAGGAGGCGCGTCGACGACCAAATAATCAAGATCTCCCCAATTAACATCCCGGAGGAACTGCTTAATTAGTCCATTCTTACGTGGACCCCTCCAAACTACCGCTTCGTTAGGATCAGGCAACATAAAGCCGATCGACATCACTCCTAGGTTGTCGTCAACGTAAACTGGAGACCATCCCAGATTGCTCTGATGGATCTCTTCGCCCTCTAGACCCAGCATCTTGGGAATACTGGGCCCACATATATCTATATCCAACAGACCCACTTGTTTGTCCATAGCAGCCAGCGCGAAGGACAGCTGCGCAGAGAACGTACTCTTTCCCACACCGCCTTTTCCCGACAACACCAAGATCTTGTGCTTGACAGATGCCATCCGATCGCCGATCGGCGCAAGGTCGGGATCGGGACCCTTGGGCGCCGTGGCACAGATCTGCTGGTTGGGACAACCCTGGCAAGCGGAGGCTTTCCCCGCCGCTTCAGATCCCGTCCCTGGGCAGTTCTCATTGGCGTTAGAGGGAACGTCGCCTTCCGCTGCCCCCTCCATGTTCTTCTCCTCCTTCGCGTCTCCCATCCTCTCCCTCCCTCCCTCTCTCTCTCTCTCTCTCTCTCTCTCTCTCTCTCTCTCTCTCTCTCTCTCTCTCTCTCTCTCTCTCTCTCTCTCTGTGTGTGTGTGTGTGTGTGTGCGCGTGTCTCCCCCGCTCACACACAAGCAACTGATCAGTCGGCCAAATAACCGATACGCCGACTAGTCAAAGATGATATATATATCTATATATCAATACTGTGACTTGCACTGAATATGTACATACGCTGCTGCTCTTTCATAAAATCAAGGAACCTGCACCACACAGAAACCCGGGAGGAAAGAGAAGGGAAAAAAAGGAAAAAGGAGCAAACAAGAGGGGGAAAGGGGGGGCAAAAACCGATTCCAAGGTCAGGCCCGAGATGCATACTCGCTCATTCTTTGACGCGAAAACAGAAGAAGAAGAAGAAGAAGAAGAAGAAGAAGAAGAAGAAGAAGAAACAAGAAGAAACAAGACAAAGAAGAAACAAGACAAAGAAGAACAAGAAGAAAGAAGAAAGAAGAAGAAGAACAAGAAGAAGAAGAAGAAGAAGAAGAAGAAAGAAGAAAGAAGAAGAAGAAGAAGAAGGAAGAAGAAAGAAGAAGAAGAAGAAGAAAGAAGAAAGAAGAAAGAAGAAGAAGAAAGAAGAAACTAACAGTGGCCATAGAGTGCTTTTCAGTACCACATGCTTCTCAAGCTTTCCATATCGAATTGAAATTGGATCCGGCTTTAATAGGCTTTAATAGGGCCCCAATAAAATCCGCATGTAGAACTCGTAGGGCATACTCTCACAATACAGCAATTTTACGTATTTCTGGACGGAATTGCGGCCATATACATCCAGGTATGGCCGTGAATGCGGTCAGATACATTTGAGATACTGCTACCTGTGTGAATATGCCCTAAGTAACACGTACCTTCCGCTACGTATGATTCAGCCAGGTGGACAGCTACCGTCTTCACCCGAATAGAACGCCTGGTCATTATCGCTGCATCTGGAGTGAAAAATGCCCCAAATAAAGCTATAATGACCGGGCGTTATATTCGGGTGAAGACGGTAGCACTCCTCAAGGAGAGGGGGGGTGGTCTCTTTCTCATACCAGTCTTCCACCTCCACCAACATGTCCACAAGCTCAGGTCACGAGAGCCAGCATGAATATACAATATATATTCATATGTATCTGACCGCATTCACGGCTCTATGCACAATATATCGTCCATATGTATATACATATATCATACACAATATATACACTCTCTATACCTAAGGTTTACCGGGCAGTTCTGTTTCACGATATATATATTGTCACATGATATCAGAGCGCAAAAGTCACATGACATCAGAGCGCCAAATTTGTCACAAGGAACTGCATTTATATAATATATAATATATTATGTATAAATAATACAATACAAGCGGACGCGCCCCGGGTACGCCCGCGGCGGAGCACGGACCGATGGCAGCAGAGCCAATGATTCGCTTGTATTATAATTACACAAAATATAATATAATATTATTAAATAATATAATCACAGCTGCTCCCCCTCTGTACAGACATCCGTCGATATATTGACCTCCCTCTCTCTCTCTCTCTCTCTCTCTCTCTCTCTCTCTCTCTCTCTCTCTCTCTCTCTCTCTCTCTCT